CCATACGGTATTATTTTAATGGCTTCATTAATAAACTTGTTCATCCTCCTCTTGTATATACTGATGAATTACTCAGTAACTTTGTATGCATGAATTTTTCTTAGCTTTCTAACATGCAAGTTAACCTATTCAACTTATTTGACCTTGTCCTCAGGTATTGATTAACTTGTATCTAAATATCCAGAATATTTTTATCAAATGAATAAAATATCCATTAGAGAGGAATAGAAAACTTTTCAGTTTCATATGGGTAATTAAGTCCAATAAGTAATCCCATTAATGCACTTCCACTTTTCATGGATAAAATATGTCTATGTACATTTATACATTTGAATAACTATCACGGGTTACCTATAGTGAGTACCAGAGAATTGTTGGCCACTGTATAGCGATGAAGTATGGTTATTACAAGTGATAGATTTGCCATAGATTGTTGCTTATGGACAACCAATAATCTTTATTAACTCTTGAGCAGTTGAAGAACTGTCACATATTAATTTACTGTTGTTCAGCAGTGCTTAATATTGATATAATCCTGGATCTTGCTAACATTCATTCTCTGTTTATTGGCAATCTTGAAGTAATTAACTTCGAAAATCAACTTACTTATCAATTTTCTGTTAGTTATTCTTCAATTGATCGCAAGAAGAGAAATAATATAATTGTAAGGAACAAGTTTTTTTCTTGTGTTAGCTACACATTTGTGACCATTAGTGATAATAAGAATATTCCAGAACAAATTCCATTTAAAAGTCGAATTACGTAAGATAAAATATATATTGATTATCGTTTGACTATCCGAAATAACCGTAGTTTGGTGGACTAGTATTTATACTGGGTGATGATTGAAGGTGAAATAAAGATTTGAACCACGCCGGAAACCCGATGGTTCTTGTAATTTCCCGTTGCTATACAAGGCTAAAGTAGCTAGACCCTTGTCGGTAGATGGGTTGCTGTGCGGATGCCTCGATACTACCGGATATTCATGATGTTATAATAATCTTGGCAACTAGAAGAGCCCTAACAAAGATGTCTGTCGTGCCACAGTGGCTTATTGGATAATGCTGTGGCGTTTGAAGCGAAGGGTACTGGGTTTGAGTCTCTCTGGGAACAACCATGCTCACTGGGGTGCAGGCACATCCAACTGATGAGTCCGAAACAGGACGAAACCTGCATCCTATATTCTTCTGCTAGTCACTAGGATCAATGCAACCTCATTAATATACGGTAGTATTGAGGAATCCTCGTAGGAGCCCATCTGCCAACAGAGGTTGAGCAATCTAGCCCTGTATAGTAACGGGAAATTACAAGTATCACTACAACTACTAGTCACTATAAGTTATATGTATTTATGTGTGTGCGGGAGTGTAGACACCTGAACAACAACCATCAAATTCCACCCCTTGATGGTCGCTCAGTTTTCTCGATAATGGAAAAGGAGGTAGGATGACATAACATGTGTCGCAACTTCAAAAACTTATACAAAATACAAGGGTATATACGCATATTTACAATGACCTCGGCTATTTCCAGGCCTTAGTAGATTTCAATCCTATTGATTATTTATCTCTTTACCCAGCTTGCTATTCACACATTGGTTCAAGTGCTTTCTCCTGAAAATTTTCTTAAACGGTCATTCGTAACAGATTTCACAGGTTTAGGGCTTTTTATACAGATCCTGGCAATCTTATTCGCACTAAAACAAATGTAATAACATATGTGTATATGGGAAAATAAGATGCTTTGGAATGAGATAAAATTGAGGCATAAGAAAGTTATTGACAATGATCACTCCTTCACCATGATCATATCAATGACAGAGGTCACCAGTTGAATCCAGGACTAGCATTTCGTCCTACGTGGGACTCATCAGTTTACCAGATAGCGCTTTTGGGTTTGAATTGTTTAAGTCTCAGTGGGAACAACACTCACTGAGTTGCATGTACATCCAGATGACGAGTTTCAAGTAGGACGAATTGCGCGTCTTGAATTTCACTGCTAGCCACCAAAAAAAATACAAGACAGTGTGAATTTTTGAATTGCTTATGCTCTAGAGTGTTAAAATGTCAAATTCCTGCTGCTTTCGAAGGGTTTGATAGCAATTTATGCAGAAATCTGAAGGTTTTGCCAAAAGTGGTAAATTTTCCGGAGTTTATCATGTGCCCCGTTACGCAGTTGATAGCACTCAGATAGTCAAATGAAAGAAGGAAGCTATATAATGATGATCACCTTAGATGGCGTTGACATGATGGATCTTAGCAACAACCTTCTCATAGTAAGTCTACAACAATACACAAATTTTATGTGAAAACCCCCTAACATAGAGGCTTATTTACTGCAGCTGGAAAATGACTAGGAATCGAATGCTGTCATGCGGCTGTTTTATACTGTTTTGAGAACATTCATGTAGAACGAAGTCAGCCATTGGTAAGTATATTTATAAACAGGAACTAGAATAATATGACACATATAGATATTACCGACAGCACAGAACTTAACATTGCCATGAAACGGTCAAAGTTGAAAAACATATTAAGGTTAAAGAAAACAAGAAAGAAGGATAAAATGAAAGCTTGAATTTTTCTACATGGGATCTATGTTATACCTTGGTTCTACTTTAGCCTTCATCAAGCTTAATTGATAACGGGGCTCACTATGCAGAATGCCGTGCCTGGTCATTTAAATCAATGACAGTCAACAAAATTTCTGGTCGATATTCTTACTATATTCAGGACTCCACACCTAACCTGCCCACTAACAGTCTGACAGTTCCAGGCCATGTGGACAGTTGCTGTCACATACCTAAAAGTTTCCAAGATCGTCAGCCATCACAGACCATGTTTCGCAGTCATATAACAATACGCAGCGAACTGTTAAACAGTACCCTTTATCCATGGTAGATATTTAATTGTCTTGATGACGGTTAAAACCAGCTACAAATGTTTTCGAATTGAATTTATGTAGGTTATTCTATAGTAATCAATTTTCCCATAAGTCACATGCCTTAAGATATCTGTTCAATAGTTGGATGTTGGAAGTAATTGGATGAGATTAGGAGTAGGCAAATGAACTTTGGAGTACCACAGTCAAGTACTGATTTCAACCAACTGCTCTGTACTGATAAAGGACAGGATTCAGTGAAGTGAAATGAAACTAGACTGCGTATTTCTCACACTTTTTTACCGTATCATAATGGTAATGAGGTGTTTTCTGGTATTTAAGTGATTCTTGATGATAATGTCCAGAAAGACAGTAACCACTTTGCGAGTAAACCATCCAGCTCAGAGAAGACAACACAAACACAGTGAGATTGCTTAAAAGCCGTAACCAAATTATATGCTGTAATACTGAACACTAAAGAAGCACGAATATTGAGAGTTGTACAGAATGAGCAAATATTCATTTCTTTTCGCCTAGTCTGACTAATATACTATTAAAGCTCCTAGAAACAACTTTCCACCATATCGCCCCTCTTGTGGCCTAAAATTCACTGACAAAGGGTATTGCTGAATGTGTTTGAAGATTTTCAATACCCTTAGCTCTTTGAGAAGTAGTTCTTAAGTTATGAACTGTAGGAACTTGTAAGAAATGACTGGCTCTTTCATTCTGCCATTGCTAGTGAAGTATCAGCAGGATTCGTCTTTGGCGATATCATCCATGCATAACGCAAATACGTGTGCTTTATGCATAGGTTCTTCAATAAATTCTTTTAACGTCGAGTTAAATGTTTTGTTCATCTAAATAAGTCATTAGTCAGCTACCAGTGATGAATGCCACCAAGCAAAATTTAGATCCACAACTACATGCTGTTTGAAGCTTACCATCTGACACCGAAATCAAGTGGGGTGCATTGTCAATTCACTTTGCTGAGTGACCACATTTCAAAACTTGGTCAGAGGACCAAACAGGTAATTTGGTTACTTACTGGTGACCAATTTGTGAGCATAATCGAGTTTATTATGGGGTCGATCGCAGCCTGAGTGGTTTAGTTATTAGGTTTTTGATATCAGCAGTGAGGGTTACAGGTTCGAACCAGCGAGGGAACATTACTTTCCTTATGATTTTAGATACACTTTTCTCATCAGTCCCAACTTAATTCCACAACTTTTATCAACTGAACCATATCACTGATACCAAAATGTTAGCTCATTTTAATGCATATAAAATCGACTGTCTTTTGTGAAATTCTTAAACATAGGTCAGACACAAAGAGATACATCAGTGATATAAAATCTATAGTTATCACAATCATTTCGAAGCTGTCCGTAAAGTCGTAATGGAAGATAACTTTTTGGAAAATGACTTAGAAGTTTTACTTACCGTCGCTTTATTTTCATGGGCAAAAATATACAGCATGAATAGATCAGGATGTTCTTTAATTTTTATGTATTTATAGCTGATCATAAGGTTTACATTTTTTGCTTGTTACTAATTCAGACATTTTTTAAATCCCCTTTTCCTGGTTGGTGCTCTTCAAGTGATAAAGTAGAGTTTCTATTTTCTCACTGTTGCATGGTCACCATCAACTGATGATTTCTGAGGCAGATTGTTATTAGTGAAGAAATCCTTCATTTCATTCACATATTTAATAAGATCTATGACGTTATTCAAGTTCAAGAAAAGAGAAGTGATTCGATTGTTCAGGTAATTGACTTTCAACCAGTGGATCCAATGTTAGGTAGTTTCATCAACCCTTCTACAATATATGTGGTTTTTTGCTTTTCGTATCAGCGTGTACGTGTCTGTTAACTGCATCTTCATTCATTTTAGTTCCAAAGTGTTTGAGTTCCTTACTAATAAATAAGTTCAGTTCTCTATCTCAGAGTTTACATATTAATGGTTTTTAAGCATTTACTACTAAGATGGACCATGGTACAATCTTCATTTTTCACATATTAGATTTTCTGTAAACTTGTAAATTAGCCTGTTTTTTTCTTAATTTGATTTTCTTCTACATGGTTTTCATTCCTTTTATTTTGTATTTTTATATCATCTTGTAGATGCATGCAACAGACAAGGATATTGGAGTGAATGCACAAATACATTACAGTTTAGAAAAGAATGAACTAATTACACCTTATTTTAAAATTAATCCACTTACCGGTTGGATAACAAGTTCAGCTGAGCTTGATCGTGAAGCACAAGCATCATTTCAAGTAATTTGCTGATATTTATTTATTTTCTAGGGATAATGTACTAAGTCGAAGATCTTTTTTAAAAATTTAATGCTGCTTACAATACTATTTCATGGAAGAATTTAAGTGTTGTGTAGCAGGAAGATATGAATATTACTTTATATATTCCTTTCTCTGAAAGCATAATTTCAACATGCACCACTGAGTGAAGCATGGTACTGATTTTTTTATGTGATGACTAAGGCATGAAGAGTGATAACTGCAATGTCATGCACTGAGTCATTTCTTCCAAACTGAGCATTTAAGAAGGCATAACGATATACTGTTTCCAACATTTCCAAGATTTATGTGTTAACCCAAAAATTCTCAAGTTAGTATTCATTATGTACTGACATGGGTTGGAGGACATTAGGAACCTAGAAACACTGAATAGCTGTTTCGTCTTAGTATAAGACTCCTCAGCAATGTGCACACCCGACCTTGCCCCATCAGGGATTTAACCTACGGCCTAGGGGTTCCGTGGCCAGTACGTTACAATTGAGCCATTCGGGTGGGAATAAGATGGTCCATGTTTCCAAATTCTGTCAGTTCCTGACATATCGTGACCATCACATTATGTCATTGTTGAATATTTGTTCTCACGGCCACTATCTTTGCCCCACCAGTCACGACTTCTCATTGGAACTTCGGGAATCCCCTCTCAAAGCTAATCACATATGAGCACTAAATCATTTAATTTTGAGGTTTGTGAAGGATTAAGTGATTTTTCAAGTTGATATTTACCATGAACTAACATCAGTTGAAAGTACATTAGAAATCTGGAAGCACTGGGCATGTGTTTCGTCCTGGAGTGGGGCCCCTCAGCAGTGCGCACCCACGGTCCCACCAGGGATCAAAATGTCCCTCCAGCTGATGTCAGTTTATGATGAATACCAACTTGAAAATCAATAAATCCTCACAAACCCCAAATTAAATTTATTCGAATAATTTTTCAGTAGAGTAAACATCTAAAATGTCGCCTTTACGATGACTTTTGTCGCTAGCTAGTGTCGTTTAAGTTATTGAAAAGGAAGACAAGGTCATATTACATGTTGTTCACTTCTGTTTGTGTCTTTTTAAAGTAGATACTCTCGACTTTACTAAAACTTAAATTCATGAGTCGGTAAAGTATCTAGATGCCGATGAAAATCCTGAGCACAATTCTCTCAGAGAGCCGCTGCTACCTCTTACTTCGCTTCGTTCTTTGTGGGATGCTGTTCTCCTACTGTATGACTGTATGATGTAACCTCCTACTCGACCATCCCTGCAACTGATCTTCTCTTCTTGTCAACTGAAGATCTTTCTATCGGTAGTGGTTGATTGAAGAACAGCTGTGTTTGAAGACATATCGTTATTTAAATCGCTGATTCCGGTGAATCTATTAGGCGGAAGATGCTTCTAATATTCAGAACACCTTGGTATTACGAAATACTGGAAAATTATTTAATCACAACATCTGGCAATCCAGCAATTCCCTGCTACTTGTTTTCTGGAGATAATGGAAGTGTTTGAAAAAGATAAAATTCGCAGGGTCCATTGTTTAACGCATAATGTTTCTAAATGTTATTTATTTATTTCCATGTGTAAACGTGAAAGAAGCAAGATAGAGAAATATACAACTAGGTAATACTTGATCTGTGATGGTGAAAATTACTACACAGTACATGATATATCCTTATCACCGATAAACAAGGTTCAAAATACATCGTTCCAACCAAATGAGACATGAAAGCGGTATATCCTTGAGTAACCAGTCATTGTTCTTGACCTGACAATTTGGCTACTGTTACTGAACATAGCGTCAAATCATTCTATCTACAATGTTGCCCCTGAGTTGCTATATTTAGATTTGTCCTTTTACTTGCCAACTTCACACCAGCTGACTCAGAAAGAAGACTAGAGTATTCAACTGGTCCACAGTGAATAATAATTTGCTTGTATAAGTGTAAAATTTGGGCATTCTGGTAGGATTTAATTCCATATTAGATTTGTTTATTCGACTTATAACATAGAGTGATATAGTATTACTTACCTAAAAACTCACCTAGAGATAAGCTCTGCCTGTTTAAGGACCCGAAAGATCCAATTAAGCAAAATAATTTGATTTATGAAATTCCATAGAATGACTCCAAGATCAAACGTATAGGTAAAAGTAGTCAGTAGGGGTCAGTTAGAATAGCGGAACATAGGAATTTAGCTGAATATAGAATTATAGAAGCAAATAAGATCAGCAATATGCAAAAGGCTGGGCTATTGCATTGCATGCATTAACGCAAAACCACAAAATAGGCTGAGTGAGATAAAACCACTGTACTCACGTCCAATATAACTAGGTGGGTATTGAAAGAGACTGATTAATGAATCTTTGTTCATTAAATCTACACCCAACTCATGTAATCGGTTGTTGAAAGTGGTGTGAATACACTGATATGATTATGAGCAGTGGTAATTTACGCTCGAAACATCATCAAGTAAATGATACTGTATCACTGTGTGTTATAAATCAAATAAACAAAAACCTAATATGGAATAATTTGTTTGACAGAATATATGGAAAATATTCAAGGCTAAAAAAGGTGTAGGTGACCTGAACAGAATGTCAGCTAATGAGCTAAAATGCTAGTGAAGGGTAAATTTCCTCCCTTCTGTATGGTTGATATTTTCACTCAAGTTGTGTACAGACACGACAGAAAAAAGTAAAAGACTAATTTTCTTCTAATAATTAAGTTGTTATTCATCGTAGATTGACATCAGTTGGAAGAACAAAGGAAACTTGCGACCATTGGACAACTGTTTCGTCTTAGCATGGGACTACTCAGCAGTGAGCACACACCACCCCAATGCACCACGGATCGAAATCGCGAACTTCAGGTTCTGTAGACAGCACATTACCGTTGAGCCACTGGTTCAAAATCCAATCGTCCACATTTCCAACCTCTGTTAGCTCACGATGTAGTGCAACCGACACCCAATTTCATTGTTGAGTAACTGTCCTCATGATCATCAGGCTTTGCCTCCACCGGTCATGACTTCTCATTGTAATTTCGAGAATACCTCTCGAAGCTAGTCACCACTGAGCACCAGTTCAGTTGAATTTTGAGGGAGGTGTGGGTATTTGGAAATATTTCAAGTTTCAGGTTTCCTTTGTTCCTCCAACTGATGTCAGTCTACGATGAATAATAACTTGTAATTTTTCCAAATACCCACAACTCCCTCGAAATTTAATAATTAAGTCTTGAAGAGGCTGTATGCCACATTAATCGAGTAATAAACCGTGTAAATGACCAATTCACTAGAATGTCATTGATTTACAGGTATCAGTCCGCTTGATTTTAATTTACAAAAGGAATGTTTATCATTGTTCATCAAAATAACTAATGGGTATCTGATATATGAGTAGCCTTATTAAATTTTATTTACAAACTGGAGAGAGAAGAACAGAAGAATAATGGTGTTAAAAACCATGGTCAATACTGATGTTTTTTAAGTGGGGCAAGTAGTAATCAATAGTTTTTAAACACTGCATTTAATATACTTGAAAATGTTTGACAGAATTCTATGTTTTGTTATCTTAGTACGACAGTGTTATTTAAAGCAAAATCACATCAGTGATCTTCGAAGGAAGAAACTGTAGGATATGATAGGATGATTTTAGGGATCAGCTAGATTTAATCTCCATTGCGGATATGCTCACAGTAAACAACTTTTTCTGTTGTCTAATGAATTTATTATTTCCATTAGTACTTCTGGCATGAGACTGTTGAAAGTGAGATGAAGCAGGTACAGAAAACTTCTATATAGTGAAAAGCCAATTAATCGAAATGAAGATTACTCTCTTTATATATCTTATATATTTATAGCCTGTATGCAGTTGAAGAAAAGGCGATAAAATAGTATGAATTCATCATATTCTCCTAAACTTGTTGTTTCAGCTTTGTTAAAATGTTTGAAGAGAATCAATTTTATGAATGAAATGAAGATTACCTTACATCCTATAGACATCTCTATGCAAATTCATTAAAAGAATGATAAACTTAGGACTTTTCATTGATCATACTTCATACTGACATGTAGATAAGAAACGTAATTCATTAGATTACATCAATGATAAGAAATATTGTCAACAACTAATGATATGCATATGCATATATGTGCTAGTGTGATGTTGATACTATATATGTAAATTTATTTCTTGTCAGTAATGCTATACACCAGTTAACAAGATATTTAATTAGTTTCGGAAGAAAAATTACTGACACTCATATCAGCATGCATAAGAAGTTATTTGTACGAATTTTAAGACTACTAAACAAAAAATAATGAGAAAGAAGACAAAAGGTAACATAAAATCAAACAGTAAACAGAATACATAATTAAATAATACCGATAATTTTAGTCAGGTGATTAAGGCAAACAAATTGTTCATTGATATCAATATGTCAGATTTATCAGTGATATATTAAAGCATGCCAATACTGTAGGATCTTTCAAAGAGAAAGAAAAATAAAAAAAACTTTTGGGATAGAAATTAATGAATAATTAATCAGAGGTGCACAATGGTTGATTGACATTTGATTGATAAAAAACCAAAACATAAGAATATAACTGAGCTTATTTTATCTATACATCACTTGCCAGATGTTTAACTTGAAAATCATTGACGGAATACAACTAGTTTCAGAAATGCCTAAACAAAAAGTAGACAATACAATTGATACTTTCTATGGCTTGATTGACTTCAAGACAGTATTCATCATGGATTGATATCAAGAGGAGAACCACTAGAAAGCTGAGAGCAATGGATAGCTATTTCATCCTGGTCTTGGACTTCTTACTATTGTACAACTAAGATTCCTTGAACAGTGGACTCTGAGATCTTCAATCCTATCGATCACACAATTGAATTCTGATGGGTGCTGTTTTTGAGTTTCCGTCAGCCTGTGATTTATCGCAACTGTAATACAATGCTATCAAAAGAGATT